AGCCCCTCTCCAGCTGTAGGGCCCCTTTAAGTACTGGAAGGCTGCAATAAGATCACCCCGGAGCCTTCTCTTCTCCATTCTGAACAGCCCCAACTCTCTCAGCCTGTCTCCATAGCAGAGGTGCTCCAGCCCTGGGATCATTTTTGTGGCCTCCTCTGGGCCCGCTCCAACAGCTCTATGTCCTTCTTGTGTTGGGGACTCCAGAGCTGAACGCAGTATTCCAGGTGGGGTCTCATGAGAGCAGAGTAGAGGGACAGAATCACCTCCCTAGGGGTGAGGTGATTATGGGTTACTAACAAAAAAATCCTGTCAATTACTGCTTATGGATTAAAAGCAGTTGGTTCTGCTACTTGTTTGTTGCCGGATTGTATTTAACCGAGCTCAGCGCCACGTTCCTGTTTGCTACGTGATTGCTCTTGGTGGCCTACAGGGATGGGCAGTAAGGAAGCAAGAGGGCCTCATCCAGCTGCGGTGCTGGTTCCGGCTCAGGCTGTGTCTGGGACTGTGCTGTCAGTCTGTCCCTTGACGTGCCGTGGTGGTGAGTGTCTGACTGAGCAATTAAAATGGACTCAAGTTCTGTCACTTCACTGTTATTTCTAATAACAGTGAGAAGCTTAAATGGACATCTAATTGCTCTCTGTTAATGAAGATTTTATGATACAGCCCTTGTTTTGATGGGGCTACAGTAGTGTTGCCAACTGCTCCTGGCCATTGCAGGGTGTTGTGTCCCCTGCCAGCGTGTCACTCGTGCGTCACATCCATGTGTTGGGTTTGCTCGGTCACAGGGTTAGGTCGCTGGTTTAGGGTGAGGGAGAAGTAATTATGACTGGAGCAGTCTGGTGCTTAATGCTGGTGCGTTAATGATACTAAAACCCCACCACCATGTTGGACTAAACGTTAAGCAGTTTGATGTCATCTGATGCCTTGGAGAAGCCTCGGGTTCCAGTTTGATTTTGCTTGGGACATACCAGTGAGTCAAGCTTACCCATTCTGGGTGTCCCAGGGGTGTTTTTCCAGCCACTGTAGTTTACCCCCACAACGATTTCTCGTACAACCACTGCTTGTACTTCATCTGCCTCAGCAGTGTCACCCATTCGTGCTCTGTTTTATCTAATTTTCTCCTATGTTTTGTGCTCATTTACTCTGGGAAAGCAAAGACACAGTTTTTCTTTGCTCTGGTGTCTTTCTCATATTCTATCCTTGTTTATTTGTGTATGATTCTTTCCTCCTAAGTGTGTTGCTGCATTTTCCTGGAGGATTTCCCTTTGCAGCAGTTTGGTGGAGGGTTAATCCAAAGATTTTTTTGCTTTTCTTTTATTCCTGCCAAAGAGGATGATGCTTACCATGCCCCTTGTGCCCATAGCTACAGAGCTCCGTGCAAAGCACCTGCGTAAGGTAGGTCAAGGTTGTTTTATAAGCTGGGGAGACATGTGGGAAGAGGGTTCAAGAGACATGGTGGTCTGGCTGAAAGCCTACGGCTGTCTTTGTAGTGGAATTGGAAATAGAACCTAGAGGTGGAGCTGCAGCAGGATTTTAGTTCGTAGAAAATACATACAAGCCTTTTAGAGTCACTAAAAATCCTATCAGTCTTATGCTAAATGTGTGGATGTCACAGCACACAGAAAAGAGGATACCTCATTTTTTCCTTCTTCAAGTTTCTTTCTCCTTTTAGTCCTTTAGCACCAGAGTGATTTCTTAAAGCATTTTGTCCCCAACTTGGACAAACTCTGAGTTGTCTGTGACAGTGGTTGAGAGGAATAATGCATAACTTTTGTCTTACCTTCAGAGCTCCGAAGTTAATGTGTTGTTGTAGTGACTGGTTTCTGAAAGCTTGCGACAGAATATCTTTTTTTATCTGCTAAAAACTGTGTTATAAATTTGTGAAGACAGTTTGATGCCATCCTTGTTTGTTAGTTTTGCTGTTGAAACCTTGTGCATGCGGCAGCTTTTGTATCCGTGGCAGCCCTGGCAGAGCCCAGGGGTGTTCTGCTCACCAGCGTATTCCCCTCTGAGCTCCTCAGAGTGATTTTCCTCGTGCTCTTTGTGACTGGCACTGACTGTGTTTCTTATTTGCTCATGAAGGAAGTGCCTCTGGGTAAAAAAACCTCCTTCACCTTGCAGGAGGTGACTTAGCAGGAAGATGAAGGGAGCCTTCAGTCTGAACATGGAACTGAAGCTGTGGTTTACGGTTAGAGAAGTGCTGCTGTGTTGCAGGGGGTAGTGTGTGTTTGTGAGAAATCCTAACAATTTCTCAGAGGTCCCAAAAGTAGTTCTTAGTGGAGCAAAGACAGTGTGGCAGGTGCCTTGAACATGCTAGTTACGTGTCTCAGTGTTGTTCCAGTTGGACGAGAGACCTTTTCATCCTGTGGTGCTGGAGAGGCTGCCTGGCGATGCTCTCCTGGACAGCTGGCACCCTGAGGGCACGGGGTTTCAGTGGCAGTGAGCAGTCCTCGCTCGATGGGGCTCTGCATCCTCCGCACGTGGAATGCAGATCTTCCTCCACAAAAAAGCTCTGTTTTGAATTTATGGAATACAGGTTTACTGAGGTGAGTCGAGCCCCGGGATGTCTCCTTCATGGGATACGAGGGAGCTGTCTGACTCTGATCCCAGATAATCAGTTGCTGGGATACTGAGACATCCTGCACAAGCGTTGTCTTCACAGTTAATCAGATAAAATGCTCCAAAACACAATCCTACTTGGCCCGCATAAAATGTGAAATCTATTCCTGAACCCTAGTGTTCGTCATGCTTTTCTGAGCCTTAGTATAAGCAGAAACCACTGCAGTGCATCTCAGGTGGGGAGGCTGTATCAAGGTAGCTGTGCTTGGAGATTATAGGCAGATTAGCTTTTTAATTTGTTGCTTCTGGGAGGGGTGGGAGAAGGTTGCCCGTCATTTGAAGCACGCACCTACATTTTGTTACGTGGGTTCTGTAGGACAGATTCTACGTAGGTTCTGGACCTGTGCTGGAGCTGATTGTTGTATCTGGAAAGAAGGACGTGTTTCTGTAACACAGACATCTGGATGCTTGTAAGCTGAGCTCAGCAGTAGCTGAGCGCTACCATCGTCATGAAAGCACTACCATCTGTGCAGAGTAAGAAGAGCCTTTCTTGAAGCATAAAGGAAAGCAGCCTTAATGGAAAAAACAGAGCCATTCATGAAAGCCCTTCCATTTCAGAGTAAATCATGCTTGCTCCTAGCTAGAGGTACTGCAAGTCCTTCCATAATGCCTCCATAACCGTTCAGATGATTAGTTACTGCTTCTGTAATGACTCATTTTAAAACAGATTTTGTGCTGTCTGTGCATTGCGCCTTGGGAAGGAAATGTACGTTTGGCTTGGTCCTTTCATCACGCGCATGCAAAAACCCTGCTCTGGAACTTCAAGGGAGAGGGCTTGGGTGGAGCCTTTTACTTTAGATCTCTCCCGATACTTCTTTCTCCGAAATTACAACTCCATGAAGTTCATACTTGAGAGAGTTTTCCCAAAGCCTTTCTAGGAAGAGGCTGCATCCCTGGTGCTCTCGTACGTCTGAACCGATTCGGTTTGGCTTGGCCGTTAATCTCGTTAATTCTGTGCTCTGAAATCCCGGTGACGTTGCACATGCTTCATCTCTGGAAATTCACACTGTAGTGCCTCACCTTAAAGATGAATGAAACGCATCCGTGGTGAACCTTTCAGAGCCGAAGTTCAGTTTAGTCAGTCCCAGGGTGTCCTGGTTTTAGCTGGGACAGAGTCAGCTCTTCTTTTTAGCAGCTAGAAGAGCTCCGTGTTTTGGTTTTACTCAGAGGCTCACTCTGAGAAGAATGCTGATAGCAAGCTGATGTTTATAGTTGGCACTGAGGTCTCAAGGACTTTTCAGCGTGCCATGTTCTTGCCAGTGTGCAGGAGCACAACAGGATGGGGGGGAGCATGGCCGGGACGGGGAGTCCACGACTCTCCTTACGATTTGTACTTGGATTTAGGATTGAGGCCAAACTGACCAGTTAGTATTCCATATCATGCAGCATCATGCCCAGTATAAAAGTGAGGGTCAGTCGGAAAGAAGAGCTTTTTGCCCTTCTGAGACTCTCACTTTCGGACTCTCAAAGTGCTTTCTCTCTCTCTCTCTCTCTCTATTTCGGGCCTCCTGTTCATCCGGGATTGTGGTATTTGGATTTATCTGTTTCGGGATTGCAGCTTTGGGAAGAGACGGGCCTCGGTCAAGGGGTGGTGAGCAATTACACCGTACATCACACGTTTGTATATTTATCCTTGTACATATCCGTACATATATATATTGGTAGCGGTAGTAGTAAATTGTTCTTATCTCAACCCACGGGTCTCCTTTCTTTTTCTTCTTTCATTCTCTCCCTCATCCCTGGGGGTTGGGGAGGGTGAGTGAGCAACTGTGTAGAGTTTGGTTGCTGGAGTGGCCTAACCCACGACAGTCTTATATCTCTTCCAGACATCCATGTTTCTGTGTGTAGAAATGTCTATGTTTAATTAAATTAAGCATCAAGGTGTATAGTCTGTAGCACCCACAGTGAAGGTTTTGTGTGGTTCTTGCTCTGGGATGTGGGAGGGAAGGCAAACGTTGCCCAACAGGAGCCCCTCTGGCTGTGCAGGGCTTTGCAGTGGGATGAAGCCTCGTCCTCCTCCAAGCAGGTGGTCAATGGTGTTTGTGGGACTGGACTTCACACTGGAAGGTGGAGAAAAGAGGAAGAATTCATCGAAATTGAGCAATATTGGAAGGAGCTGACTCTTACTGCTCCCTATTGCTTTTCTGGAAAAATGGAATTACCTCCACTGTAATGATTTATTCTAGGTTGTTTTTTTTTTCTTTTTTCCCCTGCTTCTACTCTTCTCAGTGGCCATCAGTAGTACAGGGAAGGAGTGAACTAGCCAGTATTTTCTGTCTTGTGCTCTTTTATATATGTGAATTAAAACTGCACAGACCAGCTGTTCTCTGGGAAGCACTTATTTAGAGTTTTTTGTTCCCTTGTGTGTTTTTTTTTTCTAGGAAACTACTTTGCAAGTCACTTCTTTATGGGAGGCGAGAAGTTTGACACCCCTCACCCCGAGGGCTACCTTTTTGGCGAGAACATGGATCTAAACTTCCTCGGGAATAGACCTGTTCAGGCAAGTTCCTATACACTGTCTATTTTACCCTTTTGTTTCTGTCTTATTTTGTAAAACCGTGTGTAGGACTTGCACTGGAATATAGCGCAGAGCTAAGGGACCCTCACTGCTTGGGAAGTGTCATTCCAGCCTGAGGTACAAGAGCCTTCCCCCACCCATGTCCCAGCTTGCTGGCCGACATAGCAGAGTTTTTCTAAAAAGCAATATTCACCTTCTAGGCTTGTTTTCACTTAGAGCAGAAGGAAGAAATAATGGGGGAAGAAGGGCAGGGGTTCAGGAGCACAGATTTTGGGGACTCATTCTGATGGCCTTCTTGCACAAGACTTGCCTGCCTCAGCGAGCATGAAACATGCTGCAGAGAGGAGCAGGCTGGGAAGCAGATCCCCTTTCAGAGCCTGAACTTCACAGGGCTCCTGGGCACATTGGGTGGATTCCAACCAGTGTCCTGTTCTCTGTGTAAACGAGTGGCCTGACTAAGTGTAGGGCAGTTTTAAGACAGATCTTGATATTTGGTGATTTTTGTTTGCTTTGTAACCTAGGTGGGCTGCTCAGAATAATCTCTCTTTTAGTTTTCCCAGTTGGAACATGGAGGTATTTCCATGTCTTATGAGACTGTGAAAAGGTACCCGCTCCAGCAGTTGGCTTATTTGCTTGTTGCAAACAGAGGATAACACTGTTGTGAAGGACAGATAGGAATTTTATGTGTGTTATGTTTTGGATTTCTTTTGCATCTCAGAACTGCTTAAAAAGAACCAAAAGGTAACAGAGTGGGAGCCGTTTGGAGATGTTTTTGGAGAGGAAAGGGAAATGAGCTGCTTACTCTGCCAGCTGCTTTCCTAGTTGTTTCTACAGCTTCGAAACATGAAAAAAAAAAGTTGATATCATGGTTGTCATCTTCAGAAAAGCTGTGGCTATTAGTTAATTCATGCTTGTAATGCTCAGAGGCAGTTCAGTGCCATCCCTGTTTTACAGATGTGGGAAACTGAGGCAAGGTGACTCAGTGTTTGAATTTGGACTGGTGACAAACATGTTCTGCTTTCTCAGTTGCTCTCAGGCTGTGCCATTGGTCTTCTCAGCACCACAATTAGTTAACAGGACTCTGCAGGCGAGGACAAGTGAGAATCTGGAGAGCCCCTGCTCGAGCAGAAAGTGCAGATGAGCAACAGAATTAGGAAGGAGGGACTTAGATGGAAATGGTTCTGGATGTAACAGTGCTATGCAGGCGTGGGGATGCTCACCACGTACCCTGCGCCACATCTGCGCACAGGGCGTGTGCAGGACAGCAGTTGAAAGCTGACCGCTTCTCCTTTGCTTTGTGACTCACAGCTGCACGGTGCTCCAGCGAAAGAACACACAGCTGTTCACTAAACATCCCATGATGTGCCTATGGCTGTAGGGACCAACCTTGCAGAGTGAAATTGTCTGCACGTCTCAGCCTGGGTTTCCTTGCAGACATCCCGGCACTGAATTTCATCACTTCCTCGGAGGGGAGTGGGTGAGAGTGCTATTAACACAGTGGGACGTTGGCCAAATAGGTTTAAGAGAGGGATGTTTTAATGGCTGTCGTGGTATATAGTTTGCCTATGTAAAGTTGATGCCCTTTGGCAACTCTGATTAATCTTCAAGGAAAAAACCACTTGAACACAGAGCAGCAAAACTGCTTTCTGGGAGTGGGCCAAGTTCTCACTTTGGAGTAGCTGAGCTCTTAAGTGCTCTGTGTAGAGCCGTGCTACCAACCTCAGTATTGAACAGTCAAGGTGCAAGGAAAGTAGCTGCTGCTGCCCCGTGAATTCGCTGCTGCCCGTGGCTGTGGCACGGGGTCTTCTGTGGCATTCTCGGTTCGGTCAGGAAACAGCACGTTTTCCCTCAGGTTCTGGTTCTTGCCCCACCAGGGGACAGCACTGAAGGATTGTGTCCTGGAGCTGCCCTGAAGTTCAGCTGCAGCAGCATTTGGCTGCCTGTTTAGCAGATTCTTCACTTCTAAGGAAACGTGTATATTGGTGGTCTCTGGTACTTCTACACGACTGCAGGGCACTAGTAGATGTGTGTTTGAAGGACCCCAGCTCTAATGAGGCTACGTGGTGGCACTGTTGCCGGGTCATTCAGATTAACCTTCTGCCTGAAAGCCTGTTCTATAGCTCTGGACCTCTGTGTCATGCTGTTGCTCTGACTTGGAGCACGGCTGTGTCTCCAGCCTGAGCACCTACCTACCAAACTTGGCAGTTTTGTGTGTGGATGTTTCAGCTTCGGGCTTCCCCGAGCAGGTGGGAGATCTGGCAGGCAGGTCTGCAGGTGTACAGGTTGCGGTCACCACAGTAAACATTTCTTGCTGGAGATTCCGTGACCAGTAAGGAGAATTACAGCCTGAAGCATTATCATTCTTTATTTAAAGGACCATCTGTGAGACAAGGTCTCTTGATTGTATAATGGAACGACACCCCCTATCCCCGTCTCCTTCTTTTCCAGAACATTTGCCCCATTGTTTCAGAATAAAAAGAGTTTCCCCCAGTAATCCAGGGCTTCAGCGTGCTGATTAGCAGTCAGGTCACTGTTTGTGTGCTGTAACACACATGAAAGAGCTGTGTTTCTTCTGCTCAAGCTGGAGGTGGTTTCTTTAGTGGAAATAAAAGCTTGTGAGAGCAAGGATTTCCAGACTGAGAATTCAGGGTGCAGAAAAAGAGCTTGTGAAAATGCCCTTTCTTAAAGCGCGTACTCCCAGCATGAGCTATTGCTGGGCCAGAGCAGGATTTTCACCCTGAGACATGCTTGATTTATCTGTAAGTAGAATTCTATAGCTCTGTTCCTTGTGGCTATTGTGCTGAGCACACTTGCCTCAGTTTGGGTAAATTGTATATCAGGTAACATGCTGCCACCTTTTATAGTGTAATAATAAGAGAATTATTTGCCTTTTTGTTCCAGTTTCCCTATGTAACTCCCGCTCCACATGAGCCTGTGAAGACCCTCAGAAGTTTGGTGAATATCCGCAAAGACTCTCTCCGTCTTGTGAGGTACTGCCTGAACTCTTCATTTTTTTCAACCCAGTGATCTATCATCCAGAGCCAAATTGTGTTTGATAAGATTCGGGAGAAATAGCTGAATTCCAGATCCTTTTTGCTAGATATATCCAGAGGTTTCTGTGTTCCATTGTGATCAGAGCTTTCAGGTGGTTTATATACTCCTTATCCCTAGGCTTAAGCAATCTGTGTTTCCAAGCAGGACCAGTGATTTATCTGTCTCTGCAGGACGGACTAGAGTGGTAAACAAAACCATAAAATCATTAGCATGAACGGAGGATGTTAGTCAGCTCAATAAACCCTACGGACAGGTTTCTTTCTGCATTCTTGTGCAAGGAGAAGCCAGAAAGTAGCAGATTCCGGTGCAAGTCACAGGCCAGGAAGACTGATTGGTCTTGAGTGAAACTTCCTCAGTTTTCTCCTGCTGCCAAGATGAAGTTCAGTCTTAGTGTTACGCATTTGCTTAAATGTCTTGTGCCCCATGCGCAGGGGAAGGAGGTCTGGATGATCATGGAGATCTGTTACCTTTCACTGCTCTACACTGAGATCTAAACCAGCACTAGCTGGATTAAATGCAATGGCTAACGCTTCGGCCTGGGGCTGCCCTCTTCCAAACGGATGGCTGAAATCCAGGGGCCCGGCATACAGTGCTTTGTTTTGGTCTGAGCAACTGGGCAGATGTCCAGGCAGAGCATTTCTCCAAGATCCTTGAGTCTCTCCGAATTCTGCGTTACGGGCGCAGGGCTGGAGTACTGGCAGGGGGCCAGCTTCAACTCTCAGCCAAGGTGGTTCTGAGAGTGTGGTGTAATGTAAGTAATTTGAGTCATAACCACACAAAACCCTCAGTTTGTTTTTATCTGAAAACTAAAGGTTGGTTTGTTTGTTTGTTTGTTTTTAATGAAAAATGCTCGTGGTTTCAAAACTGATTGAACAGGAAAAGAGGGAAGGACTTCTCAAAAAGTAACCATTGGTGAACTGCTCTGAGTGCTGTCCGACTTTTTCAGCTACAGGGTGAAGTACTTCTCTAGGAAAAAGTCTTGCTTTCCTCCCAAACTTGCTGTGGAAAGGGTATTTCATTCCCCATTCAGACATCCACGTAAACTGTATGTTTAACATCGCTCAGAAGCCGAGTGGGACGTGGCTTTTTCACTGGAAGAGGGCTTGCTGTGAGTGGAGGAGTCGGCGGGGTTTAGTGCATACGAGTCTGTCGTTCTGCTTTCTGTGGTTGCACGCCCTGTCCCCCCAAGCAGAGTTGCAGCTCTGAGCTATTTAAAATGTAGTGTCCGTGCACCTTGACGGTGTCTGTGTTTGCATCCATCTAATTCCCAGTGCTGTCAGTTCTTTCTCTGCCTCATGAGCTCTCCAGGCTCTTGCACTGCTGTGTTGGCGCTGACGACAACACTCCCAACGTTATTATATTTCATTTTATACTGATGTAGACCCAAAAAATGAGATTTTAATTGCCAGTCCCCAAGGGCACATTCTGTCTTGTGCTTTTCTGCTATTCTGGACTAGAAGCTTTTCCTTCCTCCCTCTGTGCACGTAGAGGCACTTGGTGTCCTCTCCAGCTTGGCTTGTTCGCAACCAGCGGTTGAGGCTTGCGCATTCTTTCCAGAACTAGTTAAGTTTAATTTGCCACCTCCTCCACCAAATAAAATGACACTGAGCTGACTGTCTAGGTGTAAGGGAGGCTCTGATGGTGAAGTCCTCACAAGCTTTTTGTTTTCCCTTGTGTTTAACTGAAAATCCTTTGTTCACCTGTGAAGAGAGTATTGATCCATAATTTGGAGTGTAGGGCTTTATGGAGGAATATGAGGAAATTTCCACTCTGGGCTTTCTGCCCTGCTCTTACCAGCCAAAGTTCTGAGTTTTGCCAAATCCTGAATATTTACAGCAGCTTTGGAAAGAGGCAATAAACTAATGAATATTGGTGTTGAAGTTCTGAGTCTTTGACACCTCATGCGAGTGCTTGATTCCTAGCAGGATGAGGCTCCGTGAACCTCAGAGATGGGTAGCATGAGTTTTGCCGTTAACTATCAACAGAAAAAGACTGCCTCGTGTCTGTCTTGTGTCCCTCTTTTGGCCCTGGGTTGGAAGCTTTCTTTAGAGCTGAAGTACCTGATGGGCTGATACTGGCTCTTCACTCTTGCCTTGAAAGCACTTCCAGTTGCAGTAGGAAGATCAACTCACGAGTTGCACCCTGGGTCATCCTTTCTGCTTCAGCGTAGTCTTTGGCCTTCAGGTGGCATAAGCAGCAGCAATACCATGGAGAATAGTGAGACCACCGAGCGTTTTGGTTAAGGGCTCGAGAGGGAGGATGATAATGGGGACTGAGGGGAGACAGGTGAGTTGCTGTGAGTGAGAGAAGGGAAATCCTTTCTCCTCCTTGACCTCGATCCTCGGAGTGGTTCATCCTGCGGTGGTGCAGGTACTGGGACTGCTTGCTCTGAAGCCCTGAGTAATATTAAAACTGTGTCCAGATCTCTGCAGAGCCCCCAGATAGGAAAGCCTCCATTTGATGATGATCTCCTCCCAGGAAAGACAATGCTGATAGAGATGTCAGCTGGTTCTTCACTTAGTGCCTGCGCTGATGCTGTTGTAACACGTATCTCACAGTGCTACATCAAGCAATACTTAGCATTTATCCTGCATGTCTACTAAGTTGTTGGTCAAACTTTTTAATGTTCTCAAAGGATGAAATCAGGTTTGATTCGACCTGTTTCTATGAAATTGTCATGGCTGCTGCTAATTATATTTTTATCTTTTAATTCTTCAACAGACAAACAAAAAGTTCCAGCATTTCCATTGTTTTATCCAGAAGCGATGTCAGACCAAGTGGCCTCAGCTCCCTTGGTCATCCTGCTTTGCCTTTTTCATCATAACATTGGATCAGCTCTTTGTTCTCAAAGGTGGTCAGTCTCTTCTGCTCTATACACGTGATTGTGAAGGCTATGCCCTTAGTTTGTGTGCATGACCGAAAGGCACACCTAGTAAAATCACTGGTTTCTAAATTTGTGCATGCATCTGTGGCCACCTTGTGTCACCACTGTCTGCAGGGCTTGACTAATGTACACTGTAAACTTTGAGTGCAGGTGGAGACAGAAGAGCTCTTGAACCACCTGTATCACTCCTGACCCACCTCCTTGTCTGCCATGTCCCGTGCAAAAATGGAAGGAATGCAAAATGTCTGGCTTTGTCTTGTTACTCCCTGAAGTTACATCCCACTATTCCTGCACCTTAAGGTGGAACATGAGATGTCTCTGCCTCTCAAAGTATGCACCAATGCAGTCCTTGCTTGTTCCTTGTTCCAGCTACCAGCTGGCATAGCTGCTTATGCAGTCATTTCTCACCTGAACCTCTTGCCATGTGGCAAGAGAACTGTTTCCTTAACTTTCAGCACCAGGCATGTTACAACAGGAAGATGTGTCCACAGCCTTGATGTGACTGTCACCATTCAGACATGTGTACTTTGTCCCCTGCTTGAGTGATGCTGTTCCAGGCAGGCAGGGCTCTGACTTTACTTCTTCCCGGCAGGTGCCTCCTCCAAAAACCACCTCTCCAGGCACTGCAGTTGGTAGTGGCCCCTTGCTGGTTTCCCAGGGTAACAGATCTATTCTAGTCTAGGTTTCTGGAAAGGATGGAAGCACGTTCTGAGTACTGGCAGGGAGATGCAAGGGTGAAGCTGGGAGCAGGAGGGTGATCTGAGAACCTCTATGTTTTGTCCGACTTCTCAGTGAAGTCAAGGTTTTACTAATGACATGTTGCTTTTGTGTGATCTGCCCCAACCCCCAGGTCTCCCACCTTATTACTTGGGGCGTTTACAAGTATCTAGATCTGTGTTGTCGATCTGTAGCTCATGCATGTGCCGGGCATCTCTATTTCAATACCTACCTAGATATGCAGTGAGTATAGGTCTGTGAAGTAGCCTTCATTGGTGCCTGCCTGGAAGGGGTACTGGTTCTCTCCCACCCCACTTGTTCTGGAAGAAGTAGCAAGTGTATCGTAGCCTGGATCCTTCGCTGCTGACCTGGGATCAATGGAAGGCAGCATAGGAAGAAATAATTTGCAGAAGCTTGTGCTGCTGCTTTCTTGGACACATAGAATACTTGTGAGCAGGTTGTTGCCATCTGTGTTCCTGAGTCAGTCCAGCACAAAATGTTGAGGCTGCTCCTGTGTTTTCTAGGCAAACCTGCTCTGCTGGATAGAATGTTTCTTGTTTACAGCCTTCAAATGCCATGTTTTTATTCTTTGAATGCAACTAGCTTGTGTGAAAATACCGTCTTACTTTGTACTGTGTATTGTATCCAGGCTGCTGCAGATGTTCAGACTCTCAGTTCTCGGGATTTTTCTTTTTTATACCAGCATGTTGGGTGTACTCTAGCTTGATTTGCTGTTCTGACCTTGGTGAACCTCTGGCAAAAGTCTTATTTGGAGCTCTCCAAGTCCTTCAGACAGGAGCGCAAGTGTACGTTGTAGTGATTCGCTAGGGTTACATTAGTACAACTATTGTGTTAGGTATAGTTAAATTTTATTTTGCACCTTCTGTATCAAATGTGTGTTAGGTATTTGATTATACTGCTCTTAAATTTTATTTTGCACCTTCTGTATCAAATTGCTGAAGCTGAACTTTTCACTCTTGTTCAGTGTGGTGTTAAATAAAATTCATGCTGGAACCCTCTTCATTAGGCAGCAGTTATTACATCTCAGTGAACTTGGTAAATAAGGATTCCCTGGACAATTTTTAGATTGAATTATGGGGGTATGCCTTGCCCAGTTCTGAGTGTTTTCACCAGTGCAGCATGTTCATCAAGGCTGTTTAATGAAGGGAGAGGCTGACTGATACTGTGAAGTCAGAGATGGTGCCAGGCTTTTCCTGAATAGTTCAGCTGCTTGGCTTTGACCCAGGTATCGTCACAATTAAGGTAAAACCGATAGACATGTGAGGCTGGAGCTGGGTGGCAAATCAAGTAGTGTTGTACACCTCTCGAAGGTAACCTGCTGCATTCACCGTTCCTACACGGTGTGTGAACTACTGGTGGTACCTACAGTTGTAGGATTACAGTGGCATTTGAATTTACCTATGAATCTGCTTCTGCCCTGCCACTGAATCACGTCTCTCTGTCTGTCACTTTGCGCTTCAAGGCAGCGGAGATCTTCTCATGAGGTGTCGTGTTAGCTGCTTCTTCCAGGATCTGCTGGTCTCTCTGGCTACTCCTGGCACGCTGTAACTCATTGCATCGCCACAGCTTGCTGCCCTCAACCTTGCTTCATACCACCTTCTTCACCGGATTTGTCACCTGCCTTTTCCAGCAGCAGGGAGAAGGAGTAGTACTGGGCAGTGGTGATCACACACTGGGATCCAGCTGTCCCGTAGCCCATAGCCAAGTTATGACTCACCTTTATGTTAACTGAAACGACTTTTAAACTCACTCTTATATTGGTTTTCATGCATCTGTTATGCAGTCGAGTATGTTAATTTTTGTTCATACGATAAATGTGTGCAAGCTTCGGTCATTAGCAGCATCAAAGATTTAGTTGATGAGTTGTACATTTAAAGGTATTTGAAGTTCCTACACTCGGATGCTTTCTGATCTGAATATCATCTTCTCTGTGATACTGGAGGTACTTTTTGTTGAGCTTCAGGAGTTCTTTGTGTTAGAGAAGCGTTGGGTTTTGCCTGTCATGCACCATTTCATTTGCAGAGTTAAAAGAATTAGGCTTTAGACTTCTCAGGCCCATGCAGGATTTCCTTAGCCCAAATACTGAGCCTAATGCCAAGGTTTAAAAGGCGGGAGGATAATGTTTCTTCTTCTAGGGGTTTGACATTCAAGAGTTCACTTTCTTGTCTCGTTCTGTGTCCTGGCACTATACGGCTGGATGAGATCCCCAACACCGTCGTTACATAATTCACTTCAATAACTTCAGTCAAATCTTGGAAGAACTTTCTTCAGAGGAAAAAAATGGAAATCTCCTATGAAGCTCCAAGTGGAAGCCCATGGTGCCTTGCCTGCCTAGAACACTGAGATTGGAGTCCTGATTTCCAGAGTGATGTTCATGATATCTCGTAAATATATGTTCTAATCCTCTGACATTGTCTTTCAGGTATAAAGATGATGTTGATAGTCCTACTGAGGAGAATGGGAAGCAGAAAGTCCTGTACAGCCTGGAGTTCACGTTTGATGCAGACGCCCGTGTTGCCATCACAATCTACTGCCAGGCTACAGAAGAGTTTGTTGGTGGCATGGCAGTGTAAGTCCTAGGCTTGTGGGCACGTGGACGGGGCACAGGAGCTCTTGGGTGACGAGCCTGTCAAACATGTCTCATTAATCACCCTTGAGAGCAGTGCTGCCGTGGATGGTGGAGAGGGAAATATCTTCTGTTTCTGTTTTGTTTTACATGTTCTGATAGCTTGGAATATTGCTTTCATTTCCTTCCCCTACATAGCCAGTATTCTCTCTTGTTCCCTTTTTGGTTTGGTTTTTGGATGTGGGGAAACCATTCTATGTGCAACAAAGGAGAGGAACTACACGCATTGTCAGCAAGATGGTCTATGGGATTAAAAAACCCCACCATCCTTCCCTTCAAATACTGCCTGTTTTTTTTTTTTCCAGATCACCTAACTCACTGGATTTCTGTGTTCCCTGTGACGGGAGCATCTGGGCCACCAAAGTAAAGTTCAGTCTGACATTTACATAGTGAGTCTGTGGAATTGAGGCCCATCCAAAGCCCCTTTTGGGATAAACGACCACCTCAACACAGGCTGTTGGGAGGTGGCTATCAGGAGGATTTACTGCCTGAAACCCTGTCTGTGTGTTTCCTGCCAGGTACATCAATTAGTCTTTGGCTAGCTGTAGAAAGAATGGTCAAAACGTCATCCATGGAGCCTTTCTTATATCCTTGTAGTGCATCCTTACAGATTTCAAAACCTTTTTATCTAAAGCAGCGCATTTAAACCATTCCAATCAACATCATATCCTGTAAGACTACGAAAAATTTCCTCTCCGTATTAAGAGCTAAGGTGGCCAAAATGTGCTCTCCCTGGTGTGAGTTGGGTACACGTGAGCTGCTGGTGCGTTATGGCAGGCTTCCGATGGCCATGGGACAAAGAATTCTTTTTGTTCTGTGGGTAAAGGAGGATTCAGGCTGCAGAAGCTCTTGGCTTCCTCAAGTAGAGGCTTTTGGCTGATCAGCGGCTCTGCGCACGTAGTGCTGACGGCTTCTGCAGTGGTGCTCTGGATTTGGGGGTAAATTTATGTTTTATTAAAGGGATCTGCAGAGCTT